GGCTGCAGGACATATTTGGACTTTTTCGTTGTTGCTATAATTTGAACTTGAAAACAGTCTTTTTAAATCTTGGACTTCACATGAAAGTTGTAGGCCTATATTTTACCTTTCTATCCATATAAAGTAAACATAAATCCGAGATCTATAGCTCCAGATATAACCCAATTACTTAACAGTGTTCTAGTTTAGACTGCACCAAAATCTTTTTTCTAAGTTTGGTCATCTCTTTGTCCTTTCAATTTTAGTACTTAAACTCATCAATCAATCCTTTTATTTATATGATAGGTCTACATTTAAGATAAACATTTACCACAAATTAAAGGTATCTTATATTATTAAATACATTATTATAAAACATGCTTTAATTAAGAAGTTATTGATACTTCAAGTGCAAAATGATGATATAAAACCTTAATAAAAATACACTTTTAATTACTAATCAATCTGCTAATGGGATTTAAAGGACCAGCAAAAGTTGAGACACACAAAATTTTTGGTCAACTCCTCACATATAATATCATTATATTCAAACCACTTTGGATTAAAAAAATCAATCATTGTTTTGAAATTGTCATCACACATAATCAGTGCAAGATAATATTGATGTTTATCAATCCTACAACTCCAAGTTATTTCAATATCATTATCATTATAATTCCATCCAAGTCCATAACAAATAGTTTCCTTTATTTTTGTATATGATATGCCTAAAAAACCATTTAATAAAAAATTGTTTATGTCATTATAAGTGATATACTACTATTCACATCATGAACGTACAAGCAAACTTCACAAAAAAAACTAAGCATAATTCATGATACAAAATCTCATTGATCTTTTCATGCTCAATTGTATTAAATCAAACCTAAATTTATAGCAAATTAACATAATTCAAAGAAAATACAAGATTCATCACTTATTAACAATTCAATGGAATGTGTAATTTATCATAATTCTATGTCATTCATGTTCTCTTGTATGAAATCAACAAGTATAGTTAATTATATTATTAGTTGATCCAACAATACATATAAAATCCTTAATTTAGCAACTTAATCAAATTAAACATAACATATAATTAATTGAAATAATTAATTCATAATTAATTTAACTTATTTTCATGTTCAACTCTATCCAATCAACTCTAATTAATGATATTTTTAATTAATGTATCATTAATTCATCAAAATTTAAATTTATTATAAACCTTAAATTCAACCTTAATAATTATTTTATTTTTATTAAATCAAATGTAAATTTATAAAAATTCAGTATATTTATTCAGTATATTTATTTTTCTTGCAGGATTAGAAAAAAGATTGGGGTTGGGGTGGCAGATGATAAGATAACTATGGGTTTTGAATACAAAAACATCCCAAAATACTTGAAGATTAAGATGCATTTTATTTTTAATTGTTTTAAAAATAAGATAAAGAAAATTGTTGGTGGGTTTTTTAGAAAGATAGTGAGGGCATCGATAAGATTAAGAGAGAGAGACTCTGTTTGGTCTGTATTTACTCGCGCTTGTGCAATATTTTGTCAGAACTTCCAAGTTTAATGTGTTAATTAAAAAAAAAAAAAAACCTGATTAAGTACACAGAGTCCGAGTCTGATAAGAGATGTTTGGTGAGAGGATTAACAAGGGTGCTGTATGGCTTTGCTTCCGTACTGACTGCAAGATTCCGTGGGGAGTCCTTTTTAAGGTCTAGTCTCTATGCATTTCTCCTTTTCTGAGGAACGCACCAGACCCACACATGCACATCCATCAGAAGGTTCAGAACAGAAGCAGACTAGTGCTGTTCACCTGACCTCCCCATGGCTGGCTGGCTCCTTTCTCCATGACTGAAACATCCCTCCCCTCATCGCATTATAACCAACCTGAAGTTCATCGAGATAAGAGGGAACAAAATGCCCAGCAAATGCTAAACACCAGGGTGATACCTCATACCTCCCTTCCCATTTCTGCTCAGATAGTTTCTGATTAAAATTCGTTCAATAAAAGCCCCAAGAAAGGAAAAGAGAAGTAGGGTAGCAAGAGGGTTAAAAGCTGACGTACTGCTCTGCTTTTTCCGAAGCGTGCTCATCAAATTCAAGGGCTCCATGAGCAGGAGATATGGCAGAAGTGTGTTGCATGCGAAATGCTCTATTTTTCTTTTCCATGTAATTTGTGAGAATTAGCTCATACGCAACCATTTTTAAAGAAGATTGAGAGATACAAGTACCCATTTGGTAATTGTCTTCTTCCACAATATATAGCGCATTGCCCATTTTTGAAGTAATTGTATGCTGTGTCAGTTTGATGACTACAAGTAGGGTACCTTGGTGAGTTGATAAGTGACAAATTAGCAAATCCTGGGGCCATGCATCAGGTCCCTCAACTATAACTGCAGCAAGGGGAAGTGTCCGAAACTAAAAGCAAACCATTATGAAGCCAGGCCATACATTCATATTAATACTTCAGCTACCATACCATTAAGTAGATTTTGCCTGTGTCCTTGAAATCTATTTATTTATGAACTCTAAAGTGAAGTGGGGGGAGAAGAACAGAACCAGCAAAGCTAAAGACATTGGATACTTCATTAAACATCCACATAATCAAATCTCAATCACATTTTGGAGAAAGAAACAAAAGAGTTGAGCAGTTCTTATTAGCCTAGCCCTCTTGACAAAAAGCAGTGAACCCCCCCACCACCGACTAGTACATCAAGAAACCCACCGATGTAAACTCAACCATCTGCAAAACAAAATAACTTTCATGGATGAAAAAAAAAGGTATCTATCTGGTTTAAAAAAGAGAAACCACAGGAAAAAAAAAGTGAATAGATATTGACCAGAGGAATTGATTACCATTATTACTTCTTGAATTAAAGCTCGGAAGAAAGTCATGTGATGAAGGAATGGATATTGAGAGCCTCGTTGTTGAAACTGAAGCACTGTTTGATGATTTGTCACCAAAATAAAGCCACGATTGTTTTTTCTTTGGTGGCCACTCATCAAAGAAACGATGGACAGTCTTTTGGGGTTCTTCCTTCTCCATTTTTATGGGTCCTAGATTACTTATATCATTTCCCAGAAGATAGTTATGTTGATGCTGTTTTTGATGTTTTGGGATATCATGATCGCATAAGCTTTGAAGCTGCAAATAAGAATACTCATTATCTAAACTAGACAAACTCCTCTGCTTTGAAGAATTGGTACTAGAAGAAGAAGAAGAAGAAGAGTTAATTGTGAGCGGGGTGAGTTGCCAAGCATCATCCAAAGATGAACCAGGCAAGCTTCTCATAGAGCCTGAAGGTTCTGAGAAGAAAGCATGTTCGTCAACCTCCTCTTTCAGCCCGTAAAAACTCCTCCTGTTTCTTTTTTTTTTTTTTTTATAAACACAAAACACAAACTATTAAGAAAAGCTATTAATAAAATAGAAAACACAGAAAAAGTACTACTATAAATACCACATTACTTTTGCAAACAGACCTGAAATCTGCATTGGTCATAGAAGAACCACCAGAGTCCAAAAGCAAGTGGGTAGAATTTTCTTGAGGTAACAGACCAATTCCAGTGGATGTTGAAGAAGACAAAAATTGATGGTTTGGATGGGCATGGTAACCTGCAGGATAGTGAAGGTGATTCCGGTGTTGGGTCTCAGGTGACATTAATAACGAAAGAGAATGGGAGGATGTTGTTAGTAATGAGTTATTGGAGTGGTTTCTGGTGATTGATGAGACAGTTGGTGGTGATGTTGATTGTGTTTGTGTTGCAACTTCCACAGGCTTTCTTGAACGGTTCTTCCCTCTGTGCATGTGTCTCTCACAGTACTTGGAATCTGGGTATGCTTCTTTTGAGCATCTCCATTTCTTTCCATCTGTTCTCCTGCACCTCCCTGGTTCTGGATCCGTTTTCCTCCCTAAACCCATCTGAAAACAGCTCCAAGCAACTGCACCCACAAAACACACCAAAGTACTCGATATGTTAGTTCAGATAAAGCCCAGATGAGAGAAAAGAGAGACTTAAAAAGAAATTGTGGAGACAGAAATCAAGAGAGGGGCGCGTGTGTGCGTGTGTAATGGGCTCACAATGTGGATGTTGGCGAGGAAAGAGATTTGAAGAGTCCAAGCAGACGCTTCTTTTGATGGTGAAGAGGAGATCAGGAGGGATGGGGATGCCAGAAACCATGTACTTGTAGATTAGTGCTTGATGCTCAAGCTCTTGCCACTGGGATGCAGTGAAGAGAAACCTGTTTCCTCCACTCATTATCATTTTACTCTGGAAAGATAAGGAGAAGGAGAAGGAGCTCTCGAAAAGAGAAGAGATTAAGAAGAAGACGGAAAAGAACTCCTTTTAAGTTTTAAGAGTGAAGTGAAAGGGCAGGGACTGTTGCAGGAAGAAAGAAAGGAGGTTGTGTGTGTTGAGGATGAGTGAATGCGTGTGGTTTATAACTACTAATGGCTTGGAGAGTAGAGCAGGTTTATTTATTTGAGGGACCATTGGCCTGCAAAATTTCTGTAGATGGAAAAAACTAACGGTTCTGATTACATTGCTGCTCACTCTCTCTCTCCCTCTCACCCCCAAACTCTGCTTATGTTATGTCTGAACCTCTCTGATGCTTCTGATGCTGCAAGCTAAGCTGCCTGGCAGCTCTTGTCTCTGACAACACTACGAAAACGCATAAACTAATAGAGGAGGAGAGTGGACTGCAAGAAACAAAAGAGAAAAGTAATAATATTTTCTTTTCTTTAGTATCAAGACAGAGGAGGGGAGTTGGTGTCTGGAGCCAATGCTTGCCTGCTCTGGGAAGGATGTACGGTTTGAGTTTTTACTGCTACTAACTCCTTTACCTTTTCTGTTCCTTTACCTCAGACCCCAGTACCCTCCTCCTCCACTTACAATTCGACCTTTCTCAATCTGGGAAATTGAGAAAACGAGATATTCAGTTTTTTTTTTGTGGGGGGGGGTTTGGGGTGTTCTGGGTTCTGATAAAACTGAGTGAAACCCCTCTCCCTCGTTTTCCTGGCTCCCTTTCCTTTTTACTTTACGAGACAAAAATATTTTATTTTGTTTGGTCTTGGCTCAGATGGTCATCGAGTTAACATGTTTTAGCTTGCTTGTCTTTTTTAAAAAAGACAAGCAAGTCTGTGTGAGACTTTTTTCTTTGTTTTCTGATTACTCTATTCCCTTTTTGGTTGGTGTTCATCACTCATTAGTCTATGCTTAAACACAGCCTGATTCTCTCTCAATCAGAAACCAAAAGAAGATTAGATCGATATCACAAGGAAACAAGTTGTTGATTTTGTTTGACTGGGATATAATCTTCTATCACGTCCAGCTTGAGATTTTTATGCAGGTAGAAGGAGTGAAAACTCATGGCATTGGTAAAATAGCATGAACGTCATCTTGACTATCTTAAAGGCATTGCCGTCTAGTTTTTCACTAGAGATCTCATAAATGCCGTCGAATTCGGTAAAGTAGAGGCCGCCTTCTTCCACGGTTTGAACTCTCAAGTACAACACACAATGGAGGAGGAAGACAAACACACCGTGTGCCTCTCACCTCCCATTATCACTTTGTGAGCCCACGCAACAGGAGCACCGGCAACCTTCTCCCTAGTGCCCGACATGTAATATGTAAACTTCATTTCAGGGAATGGTCCCATTCAGGCTGGTAATGCCAAGATGGTCTTGTAATTCTCGTCTGAATCATGATGACAAAACAACTTACTGTGATTTCATCAAGATTTATAAAATCACATTCCAATATAGATACATCCATCCTAAATACCAGCCAAACTTGGATGTCATGCGACGCAATCGATCAGAATAGATGGACACAAAATAGTTCAATTTTATAAATCATGAAACTATAAATGGGTTATCGACATCTAACTGTTTGACGAATATGGAGAGGAATTAAAGTCAATCCATCTAAATTAAGAGCATCGAGAACATTTCAATGGGGGAGATCCGAACTAGGAGGTATAGAACTTACAGGTGAGGAAGGATCCTTCCAGCTCTCTAGAGGTGAACATCCAACGCATTCTCCCCTCCCCAAGTTTCTCCCTGACAAACTCAACCCAAAGGAGATGCAACTTCTGGCATCAAGAAAATCCAGACAAAAATGAGTACCATTGTATTTGTGAAGATTACATTTTTCCTATTACTAGAACCCCTGTAGTCTGCCCAAAGGCAGGCTAACTCCAGCCCATTTTCCCTGGTGTTAAAACCTCTAGGAATTGCAATGTCTTTAGTGTTTGGGACTGTTGCCAGTTGAGCATTGGCCAAGCATCATAAGTATTCAGAACTTGCTATTTACCATAGATTATTAGTATAGTTACGAATCAACCTCGCATAACAGACCTATTCCTTGTGGAAAAATGAAGGAATAAAATCTGTATGTACAGAGAAGAGCTGTCTGTGTATCCACGAAAAGCTGCTTGACACAATGAGGAATAAGGAACTCAATATGGCACCTCTTCTATCCTTACAGTTTAATCCAATTGACAGCAAATATAATTAAGTTGACACTTATAAAGTAGGGGTTCAAACCTTCATAAATAGTCGATCACCTCTAGGGAACTAATCTACGAAACTCTCCTTTAGGAACAACGATACCTGTATATGGAGCTAATAGTTCTTTATTTGCCAAAGGTCATTGAAAACAAAAAAGATAGCACAAGCCCTTCAACACTTGTACTCAAAGCAGTACAAGTGCTTCTTGCACTTGGCAGCCCAAGGTGCCCATAATATCACATTTAAAATACAATGCAAAGCTAAATGTCCTATTTATAAAGGTATTCAAAATTCACCATCTGAAGAACTGTTTATATGAGAAAAGAAGAATACTCGAAAAAAATCCAGATCCTACAGTATTGATAGGCTCTTCAGATCAAGTCCACAGGTTAAGGGATCTAGATAAGCATTCATGTTCAATTAAATACTAGGTAATGATCATTTGTTTCCATATTTTGCTCAGGGTTTATATGGGGGTCAATACTCAAAAAACAAAATGCTAGTGACAATCTTGTATAGCACATCACAAAGACTACAGGACTGCCTCCTGCTACGAGCTAGGACATAGTTTTGTGCAGGGACACAATATGAAATTAGTAATCTTGTGCTTATCAGGATCCAATGCTGCCACTTACCATCTCATGCAATCTTACTGATTAAGTTCCACTAATATGTTTACAAAATTAACTGGTAATATATCCAAAGCTCTATAGAGCCATAGTCATCATCTTTGGAAAGGAAAATAAAAAAAAGGAAAATGATTCATTAACAGCATGATGTCATGCTGATAATGAATAGTCTGAGAATTTGGTGTAAAACATTCACACAGAGTTCTACAAAAACAAGACATAATATACTGTCACTTGGCGTAACTATATTGCAAGCCAACAGTTTCATATATAGTCATTTTATAGTTCTTTACTGCATTTTGTAGTCCCGATACGTTCATACACATCTCGAAGTTGTATAAAACATTCACCTAATTTCACAAAAAAAAAAGCATAACAAAAATACAACGCAAATTGCTAGTTTTGTACGGTAATTTTGTAATTCTATACTGCATTTTAGCAACTTTTGGCGTGTGACCTTCCCTGCTATTCACTACAGCGTGCTGTCATGCTAGCTGTCTACTAATCAGTGTCCACTGGGGAGGATTGATTATAATGAGGAAAAGTAATGGTCAAGCAGAAGCACACCTGCACATCTGTACACTCATACACTGCCCTTTCTCCCACAAGCTTTGAATGATAAGGAATTAGGGATGATATAATAGCTCCCTGTGTTTTGGTAGCTGTGGTATCGCTGGTGACTTCAACTATTAATTACGACAAGTAATGGGAAATACTGGGTTCTTTGTCTCAGCATGTAAAATAGACGCGGCATAAAATTATGGGCCCTCAAAAGTTAACTTGTTGATTCCTGTTGGCATCAACCAAAATGACATTACTTAATTTTGTTTTGTTCTTCACACCAACCTAGCTATAAGTGTAATATAAAGTGGTCAAACCAAACAAGTCAGTACCAACATTAGACAAAAAAGTGTGATCATAACAGTGAGATTGTTTGCTTATAAGCTGTTAGCTTGGATGAGACAATGGAACAACAGTACCAGCGCACACATAAGAACACAGAATCCACCTACCTTACACAATAGATATAGTTCATTCCAAACAGATAGGAACCTAGCACTTGAGGATAACGAGGCTGGAAAATGAAACTCACAATGTATGGAACAGGAGCATCCAAAAAGTCCAGCATGTCATCTGCTAAAATCTGAAAATTACCAATACAAGATACAATTAAGAAGACTGATGTTTTCTGCTAAAAAACATAGACAACACTGCTGGAAATCACACCGGCATCAGCAAGCTTTGCCACCGATAGGGACAAATTAGAGGGATAATTGACAAAACTGAAGCAGACAAGATTCCCTGTATAACAAAGTGTTTAACATCATTACTATCTCCAAACTGTACTATTTCATGGCATACAAGAAGAGGAATTATTGCTAGTTAATTTAATTTCATCGATTTTGTAAGTTTATCATTACTTTTGAAGTTTTCTTGTTATGATGTTTGTAACGTTAGGATTTTAGCAAGTTTTCCGGTCATTATTTAGGAAATTTTCTTGCTGTGATGTTTGTAACATTAGGATTTTATTATACCCTTCTTCAATTTCTACCCTTGTTCTACATCAGTATCATAACATCCACAAAATTTCAATTGCATAAGAAACTATTCCGTTTAACATCTAAGGGATATGAAAGGATCCTAACTTGAACATTTATGGCACAAATGAGTAGCTTTCAGCCAGTTAAGCTGTTCTTCAGCATCCTATTCTCCATGTTTATGCATTAAGTATGCAAAAAATCCAAAATCCAATACAAGATGAGAACAAAGATTGTCAAGCTGACATGAAATGTACATACATACCAAATTAGAACAAAGAACCACGTACATACATACCAAATTAGAACAAAGAACCACAATCTGCTTCTCTTGCATGCGGGGCTCCTGCAAACAATGTCAAGATCTGCATGCATGGAGATTAGATTTTGCTTTTACGTAAATATTTAAGGCAAAAGTGCAATAACTACATTCATTTCAATCACCACATATCAACAAAGAACTTCAGAAGCAACCATGTTCCACATTAGCAACATTAAGCCATATTGAAGGGAAATCACACCCACAGTAAACTTAAAGGGAAGAGCAACAGCAGCAGCCAGGCAAATTCACTTGTCTTTTCAAGAAAAATAAAGTATCGGTAGGAAACAATAAATACAAAAGGCCACCAAATTTGATGCATATCTCAACTTTAACCTCACTAAACAAAAGAATTCCAGTAATTACCCAGCAATGGACAAGCATATCTCCATGATTAAGATAAGCACACAAACCTTGACACAACCTTCTAATGCAAGCATCAATATACTACATATTTTGCCGCATCAGAACAGAGGTGAAACAAATTTAGGCACATACAGAGATTGTACATAATCCATGTTAGACTAGCCAGGCACAGTAGGAAACCTAAAACAGACCATTTTTAAGAAATAACAAATCCAAAAACCTAGCAAAGGCATTACATGCTCAAGTCTCATGGATCCGCATATACATGCAACGGCCCAGGTTGATAATGCAGTTGCTTCCTCCTCTGCCAAGAGTGCATGGTGTGCCTGATTAAGATAAACAGCAACCACATGAAATAGTCTAGAAATAAGTACAGCTGATGGTTGAAGAAAATTCAACTACATGTGACAATAGAAAGGAGGCAATGTCTCATTTCACAAAGCCATCATTCTATAATTGTATCTACGTCGATCCGCAAGTTCCAGACTTTCACTGCAGGATCTCAAATCAATAGTTGAGCCATTAATATGTAAAACAGCCCCATCAAGTCTATGATATTCCAAGGGATGAAGGTTCTCCAAAGGCTGAAATCTAAGAGTAGAACCCCCAGAAGGGAAATGTAACTGGTAATACTCACACAGAAGCTGCAATGATCCATGGTTATTTGCCTGCAAAATAGAGGAAACCTGACAACTTTCAGTCATGTCATTACACAAGAATATTGGACTTAAAACATGTACAAAGCTACATCTAATACAAAAGAGATGCAGACCTTAGCCCATTCAAGAATATCAATGCGATCACTTGAATCTTCCTGGCCAGAAAAGGATGCCTCTTCTGTCTCTGTGTCATCAACATCACTCCTAAAGTTTCTGTCATCACTGGGAGAACCCTGGAAGCCACAGAGAATGCATTTTTACTGAACTCGTAAGAATGTCATCTCCACCCACACACTGATGGATATGTATATAAATGCTGCGCAATTATAAAAGCTTATCCGATAAAGCATGGATTGTATTATGTAAACAAACAAACTCATGACGTGGCTATAAAAAGTATTAATTACAATATATATATATATATATATATATTAATGCATATATGATAATATTCTCATTTATGCATTATGTTCATAGATATATACACACACTTATTTCTTGAGTGAGTCATCATTTGCAAATAGTGGCGGAGCCACGTGAGGACAAGAGAGGGCAAATGCCCTCTTAAATTTTTTTTAGAATTTTACTATATTATTTTAGAATTGATTTAATTTTATATTGAGAATTTTACTATAACAATAAAAAGAGGTTTATGTGAAGAGTTCAAGCAAACTTCAATCACACCATCACTTATATTAATTTTTAAAATATCCACTTCTAGAAAAATCTTAAGATATTAAAAAAATTTTAGAATAAATTTTTTATAATTACTTAACTATTCAAGAGGAGTGTAAATCTATATAGGATATTCATATAATAGTTTTGGTAAGGGTTTAATACAGGGAAAGAAAAGTGAAGTTATGAGAAATATCCTGTGTCAAGTGTTTATATTCTAGTAATACTTCATCATCTGTTAGCTCCTAAAATTATGGTTATAGTTAAAGATAATATCGTGTACTGTTACAATTTAAATCCTATATATAATAGGATAACAATCCGAGAGAGATTGAAACAGAGTCTAGCTTTGTTTCCTTATATATATGTATGTAACTTTGGTGGACAATCAATAGTAAAGAACATGAATCTCTTTCACTCCTAAATTCTTCATGGTATCAAAGCGGTGATCTCTCGCTCCCTGTTCCAATTCTTCCGTGTTTTAAATCCTTCCCCTGTGTTTTGTCATGGCTAACTTTGAAAGTCATGATGCAGTTGGAGGAACAAAGGAGATGGTAACTTCCTTATCCAACGTTGTTGATAATGATATCAACACTGCTCGTAAACTGAGCTTTGTATTGTTGAATGAATTTAATTACCTTCCTTAGTCTAGAGCAATCACAATCGCTCTCAGTGGAAGATCAAAATTGGGATTTATCAATGGCACGCTAAAATCCCCTATCCCCTGAGGTTGGAATATGAAGCCCGGTTATCAAAAGATCAACTAGTTATGTCTTGGATTCTAAATTCAATGGAGCGTAATCTTGTTGAAATTTTTAGTTACTCTGAGTCCTTTTTGGATCTTTGGAATGCCATTCATGATATATATGGAAACCAAAACAACTTTGCTGGATTTTCAGATTAATCGAGACATTGCCAATATTAATCAAGATGGCAAATCGTTTGTCAACTTACTAGGAAACTTAAAAAGACTATAGAGTGAGTTGGAGATCTATCGAACTCCTGCGAAAAAGAACTGAGGAAAACCGAATCTTCCAGTTGTTGGCTAGCCTTAATCCTGAATTTAAGGATTTAAGAAGTTATATTTTAATGAATACTGAACTCCCATCTTTTCAAAGTGTGTGCGCCACAATCCAACATGAAGAAAGTCATCGAAAAGTCATGTCCCGCACTATTACTCCATGTAATCCTGGTGTCAGTGTTTATCTTGCACAACCATACCTTGAAGGAAAAGTCTACAAAGGGAAACAACCAGATCTTAAATGTCAACTGATTAGTACTTAAAAGTGCATTTTTATCAAGATTTTATATCATCATTTTGCACTTGAAGTATCAATAACTCCTTAACTAAAGCATGTTTTAAAATAATGTATCTAATAATATAAGATACCTTTAATTTATGATAAATATTCATTTTAAATGCAGACCTATCATATAAATGAAATGATTGATTGATGGATTTAAGAACTGAAATTAAAATGACAAACAGATGGCCAAACTTAAAAAAGAGATGTCGGTGCAGTCCAAACTAGAACATTGTTCGGTTATTGGGTAATATCTGGAGCTGTAGATCTTAGCTTTAGGTCTACTTTATATGGATGGAAAGATAAAACATAGGCCTACAACTTCCATATAGAGCCCACGTTCTAAAAATCTATTTTCAAGTCCAAATTAGAGCAACAACAAAGAAGTCTGAATCTGTCCTCCAGCCCAAACATTGTTCAGTGTTTGGCCCATATCTAGAGTTATAGAAGTCCAAATGAT